CGAATTATAGGGGTGCCAGAAGAAGAGAGAGGGCAAGATATTGAAAACCTATTTGAAGAAGTAATGACAGAAAACTTCCCCTACTTGGTGAAAGAAATAGATTTACAAGTCCAGGAAGCACAGAGAACCCCAAACAAAAGGAATCCAAAGAGGACCACACCAAGACACATCATAATTAAAATGCCAAGAGCAAAAGACAAAGAGAATCTTAAAAGCAGAAAGAGAAAAAAAGTCAGTTACCTACAAGGGAGTACCCATACAACTGTCAGCTGATTTCTCAACAGAAACTATGCAGGCCAGAAGGGAGTGGCAAGAAATATTCAAAGTGATGAATACCAAGAACCTACAACCAAGATTACTTTATCCAGCAAAGCTATCATTCAGAATTGAAGGTCAGATAAAGAGCTTCACAGATAAGAAAAAGCTAAAGTAATTCATCACCACCAAACCAGCATTATATGAAATGCTGAAAGGTATCCTTTAAGAAGAGGAAGAAGAAAAAGGTAAAGATAAGAATTATGAATAGCAAATACACACCTATCAACAAGTGAATCTAAAAATCAAGTGAATAAAAAATCTGATGAACAGAGTAAACTGGTGAATATAATAGTACCAGGGGCATGGAAAGGGAGTCGACTGACAATTCTTGGGGGGAAAGGGGTGTGGGGGTGCAGGAAGAGACTGGACAAAAATCGTGCACGTATGGATGAGGACAGTTGGGGGGGGTGAGGGCAGAGGGTGGGGTGGGAACTGGGTGGAGGAGAGCTATGGGGGGAAAAAAGAGGAACAACGTAATAATCTGAACAATAAAGATTTAATTTTTTTTTAAAAAAGCCCAGTGAAGTTAGTATGATAAACGCTTTTTTCAATCACAGCCTCCACGTCCTAATTCTTCAGGCTCCGCCCCCAAAGCCCTTTCCCTTCCCCTTCAATCTGGCTTCCCAGACCCCGCACCCAATCTGCCTCTAGAACCTCCAGGCCCAGCCTGAACTCCTAGGCTTCGCCGCAGGGACTCCCCAACAATCCTTAGGTCTGCTCCCGAAGCCCTGCAGCCCCGCCCTAACACCCTAGGCTTTCCAGACCCCGTCCCCACTTCGGGGCCCTCCAGGTTCCGCCGCCAACTCTCCCCTACAACTCCAGGCCCAACCAGGGGCCACATGCAACCGCTAGGTCCCGCCCCCAACCCCCCCCCATTCCGCCCCCAAATTCGCCCCATGACCCTCCCCAGAGAGAAACAATCCCTAGGTCCCCGCTGCGATTCCCCCGCCACCATCCCCCCGCCCGCGCCCGGCTGAGGACCCCGCTTCTGCAACAACCCCAGACCACGCCCAGGCCGCATACCCAGCACCCTTTGCTTCTCCAACCCGCCCTCTGACCCCGCAGGCCCCGCCCCAGCCCGCGAGGCCCCGCCTCCTCCAGGACGCGCTCCCGGGGGTTGCCCGGAGGCCGGCCGGCCCCTCTGGACCCCCGTGCCTCTTGCTCACCGGGCCAGTCAGGGCGCCGCGGCCGCAGCCCGCACTCGTCCTACCTCCCCGGCTCCGGTGCCGCCATCTTCCCTGAGACCAACGAGTCGCCCGCGCAGCGCGGCCGCCTCCCAGAGGTTTCTGGGACGGCGGCGGCGCTGGCTCCGCCCACTTCCGGGCTTGTTTGTCTGGGAGGCTCAATAGACTTCCAGCAGCTACCTGAGCTTTGTGAGGATAACGAACACTGTTTCAACTCCAGTGAGAGATCCCGTATGTGCTGCACTAATATCGTATCACGATGGGTTGCCCTCAGTGGGAAGTATTTATATGCCCTGTAAATGGCCCTAGGTTCGGCCCCAGCTAATGCTGGCTTCGGCAGTACTGCACTAAAATTGGGACCCTACAGAAAAGATGAGCATGGCCCTTGCACAAGAATGCCACACAGACTCGTGAAGCGTTCAGTATTTTGCTTTTCTAATATTCGTGGGTGGGGAAACTGAGGCTGGATAAGAAAGTGCCTTACTCAACCGAGGGCCCTCCCAACCTCAGGCCCCATCTCTAACTCCTTCCAAAGCTGGTTAGTTCCATTCTGTGTTTGCTTTACTTTTTTAAAAAATATATATATTCAATGTGTTCATTGATTTCAGAGAGGAAGGAACAGGGAGAGAGAGATAGAAACATCAATGATGAGAGAGAATCATTCATTGATCGGCTGCCTCCTGCACGCCCCCCACTGGGGATAGAGCCTGCAACCCGGGCATGTGCCCTTGGCTGGAATCGAACCCAGGACCCTTCAGTCTGCAGGCCGATGCTCTATCCACTAAGCCAAACCGGCCAGGGCTGCTTTACTTTTGTATTGTTCATCGGTGGGGGAAGTGAGGTGACTTATCCAGTTGAGGACCCTTCTGGGTTTAAACCCCATCCCCCAGTTCCTCCTCCAACAAGCTGCTTCTATTCCTGCTGAGGCGCGCGGCCAATGTGGGACATCTTTACCTCCTGGTATTGCAAGAGAAGGTGCACCATGG